TGCAACGAAGTGGAGTTCAACACACCAGTAACCTATGAACCTACTGTAATCTATAAACAGTTGAACGTAACGAAGTGCAACGAAGTGGAGTTCAACACACCTGTAACCTATTAACCCACTGTAATCTTTAAACAGTTGAACGTAACGAAGTGCAACGAAGTGGAGTTCAACACACCTGTAACCTATTAACCCACTGTAATCTTTAAACAGTTGAACGTAACGAAGTGCAACGAAGTGAAGTTCAACACACCTGTAACCTATAAACCTACTGTAATCTATAAACAGTTGAACGTAACGAAGTGCAACGAAGTGAAGTTCAACACACCAGTAACCTATAAACCTACTGTAATCTATAAACAGTTGAACGTAACGAAGTGGAGTTCAACACACCTGTAACCTATAAACCTACTGTAATCTATAAACAGTTGAACGTAACGAAGTGCAACGAAGTGGAGTTCAACACACCTGTAACCTATAAACCTACTGTAATCTATAAACAGTTGAACGTAACGAAGTGGAGTTCAACACACCTGTAACCTATAAACCTACTGTAATCTATAAACAGTTGAACGTAACGAAGTGCAACGAAGTGGAGTTCAACACACCTGTAACCTATAAACCTACTGTAATCTATAAACAGTTGAACGTAACGAAGTGCAACGAAGTGGAGTTCATCACACCTGTTACTTATAAACCTACTGTAATCTATAAACAGTTGAACGTAACGAAGTGGAGTTCAACACACCTGTAACCTATAAACCTACTGTAATCTATAAACAGTTGAACGTAACGAAGTGCAACGAAGTGGAGTTCAACACACCAGTAACCTATGAACCTACTGTAATCTATAAACAGTTGAACGTAACGAAGTGCAACGAAGTGAAGTTCAACACACCTGTAACCTATAAACCTACTGTAATCTATAAACAGTTGAACGTAACGAAGTGCAACGAAGTGGAGTTCAACACACCAGTAACCTATGAACCTACTGTAATCTATAAACAGTTGAACGTAACGAAGTGCAACGAAGTGGAGTTCAACACACCTGTAACCTATTAACCCACTGTAATCTTTAAACAGTTGAACGTAACGAAGTGCAACGAAGTGGAGTTCAACACACCTGTAACCTATTAACCCACTGTAATCTTTAAACAGTTGAACGTAACGAAGTGCAACGAAGTGAAGTTCAACACACCTGTAACCTATAAACCTACTGTAATCTATAAACAGTTGAACGTAACGAAGTGCAACGAAGTGAAGTTCAACACACCAGTAACCTATAAACCTACTGTAATCTATAAACAGTTGAACGTAACGAAGTGCAACGAAGTGGAGTTCAACACACCTGTAACCTATTAACCCACTGTAATCTTTAAACAGTTGAACGTAACGAAGTGCAACGAAGTGAAGTTCAACACACCTGTAACCTATAAACCTACTGTAATCTATAAACAGTTGAACGTAACGAAGTGCAACGAAGTGGAGTTCAACACACCTGTAACCTATAAACCTACTGTAATCTATAAACAGTTGAACGTAACGAAGTGCAACGAAGTGGAGTTCATCACACCTGTTACTTATAAACCTACTGTAATCTATAAACAGTTGAACGTAACGAAGTGGAGTTCAACACACCTGTAACCTATAAACCTACTGGGCAAGATCAGAAAAAAAGGGAATAAATATTCAAATTCAGATTTCTCTGCTTTTAATAACTTAATTAATATGATTCCTTCACTACATGATAGCTAATAATAGTAAGTTTCTTTTTAACATTCATTTTTCAAAATGGCGACTTATTAAGTTAGTTTAATTAACAAATTAATATTTGAAATCGATTTTTCTTTGAAAAGAAAGCAAGATGAATGTTTGGAAGCTTGACAAAAGTTGTAGAGCTTGCTTTTTTCTATCATATGATCAAAATAGATTTTATTAAAAATGAGTTATTTTAGTTAAATTAACTGAAAACCAAATTGAATGTAAAATGTATTTTTAAATCAAAACTATTAACCTTAATCGGTCAAGAACAATTACTTGATATCTTAAGAGTCTTTTACTATTTAATTTACATTCGAAAAAGGCTTAAAAGTAAGTTAAATTAACTATAAAAACAATGAAATTTAAGTTGAGCAACAAATTTTGCTCTTATTTGCTCACAAATTTATAATTTTAAAAACCGTTACAAAATTTTTGGTCAAATTTTTTACTATAATTTAATTTTCTCTGCTTGTCTTGAACAAAAAGTAATATTTCTTTTGCAATATGATAAACATTGTTGAATTCTATAGTTTGAAATGAAAAAATCAGTAGACGAATAACACAGCAATGACTTATGACTAGTTTTGTAAAACTCATCATAACTTGGTTAATTATAGTAGAATTGAAAATTTTCTCTCACAAACGTAAAGAAAATTACATATAAAACCTTTTTTGTAAAGAAAGATAGTTCCTAAACTATTTCCTTCATATCAAAATTTCAGCTTCAACATTTTAAAGCTGAATTAAGCTAACTTACAAATCCGCCATTTTGTATATTTTAGACAAAACTTTTAATGATCTGATTACTTAATTATCTGGTGTAAAAATCGTTATGATTAATGAAGTATTCGCAGAGATATTACATTTGCAACATGGTGTAAAATCGAATTTCCTCAAAATTGTTCGTGACGCTTAGCACTTTAAATTAATTTTTAATTATAATCCAATGTCTAAGAGATACTTGTTATACACCAAAACATAGGTCTTGGCAAGGACTTTAAGAAAAACACAAGTCTTAAATACATATTTCGCATTATTGATTCAAAAATTGTAAATTGTTGTTAAGCGTCACGAACAATTCATTTTTGATCTTGCCCTACTGTAATCTATAAACAGTTGAACGTAACGAAGTGCAACGAAGTGGAGTTCAACACACCAGTAACCTATGAACCTACTGTAATCTATAAACAGTTGAACGTAACGAAGTGCAACGAAGTGAAGTTCAACACACCTGTAACCTATAAACCTACTGTAATCTATAAACAGTTGAACGTAACGAAGTGCAACGAAGTGGAGTTCAACACACCTGTAACCTATGAACCTACTGTAATCTATAAACAGTTGAACGTAACGAAGTGCAACGAAGTGGAGTTCAACACACCTGTAACCTATAAACCCCCTATAATCTTTATTTCTCTATTTCATTTGAATAAGACTAAAAAGTAGAAAATAAAATACTTTATAAAAAAAACTTTTTAAAAAAACTACGTTTTTCGCGTAGACTAAAAAGTAGAAAATAACTTTTATTCTTGGTTGTAAAGAATTTGGTTTTAAATTTTCAGATTATATTTAATAAATTTTTATATCCTAGTCAATATTGTTCACAAAGTTTCGAATAAGTGCACTTTGATCTTATCGTATAACTCAACAACTTAAAAACGTGGGCGCATTATAAGAGGAGAAATAAGTTTATGTGAAATCAATACTTTATAATAAACTTAAATTAATGCGCCCACGTTTTTAAGTTGTTGAGTTATACGATAAGATCAAAGTGCACTTATTCGAAACTTTGTGAACAATATTGACTAGGATATAAAAATTTATTAAATATAATCTGAAAATTTAAAACCAAATTCTTTACAACCAAGAATAAAAGTTATTTTCTACTTTTTAGTCTACGCGAAAAACGTAGTTTTTTTAAAAAGTTTTTTTTTTTTCAGTCAAATGCTCTAATGTATAGTTTGTATAGGAAAAAAAATACCTTTTTGCCGACGCTAAATTTGGCAATGATAAATAACGCTGAATCATATTTTGACTAATTGCATTCGCTTTCAGCCAATATACGAAGCCTCCGATCCACTGCAAGGAGAAGGACTTGTTAGTGAATTTTGAGAAGGAATTTGGGATGATGATGATGAGGCGCATTTTTGAGGTGTCAACCCTAGACGTCATTTATGAAAGACCCCAAATCTAGTCAATCAGACAAAATTTGACCCCAGACTCACCATGCACCTCAAAATAAGCGCTTAAAAATTGAGATGAGAAAAATATGAGAAATAAGTTAATGAATCATGTCGATACCAACGAATAAATAGTGTGGCGTGATGTCAAGTCAAACGATGTGCTAAAAAATTATGTATTTAAAAAAAAAACGAGAAAGAGAAAAAAAAGGAAGAAACGAGGAGTTGAACGTTAAAAGAGAAATGACATGAAATCAATATCAATTAACTGACTCCGGTGCTTCAATACGTCCACTCTCGACATTGCGCGTAATCACAACATCCAATCCGCCTATATCGTAAGTGCCTTTAATAATGACTAACAACATTGCTCCAAACATCATTAGTGATTGTACAACATCTGTATAAATTACCGCTTTCATACCGCCAACGCAAGTGTAGAATATGCAGCATATACATGTTATTGGCGTAATCATGTGAATGTCGATGCCTGACACTATAAATGCATTTTAGAAAAGACACAGAAAAAAATATTTCAAATTAAAAATCAATTGTTTGTGTTATTTGTCAAAAATGAGGCACCATTCAGTCACAGTTCAATGTCTAAATTTTTTCAATTAGCTTCCTCATTTTCTTATATGGATATTTGCATGAAAAATTGCTGTAGAAAAACCTGATTGTCATTTTAACGCATTTTTATACAAAAGTTGATTTTGTTATTGTCTGTCTGTCTGTTATATTAAAATTATCAATAGCTGTTATTTTTTTAAATATTATTTAACCGTTATTTATATAAAGTCATTCCAACTCTTTGTCAGAAAGTGCGCATTTGCCATTCACAGGTTAGTCTCTTCCATACCTCTTTATTATTCACATACCTTGATTGAATGCTAATGCGGGAACAAAAATAACGATTGGCAACCATACAATCTGAAAAGTATGATATATTAGCGAACATTAAGTAACAATCATATTAAACATTATCATCATATTTTTATATATATGAATGGGAATATGAATGAATGAGTGACTCGAACAGACAATTTCAATAGACATTTCCATATGCCTTTTTCCTTCTTCTTCTTCTGCAATTTTGGTCTGACAGAATTGCACATGATATCAAGTATGGAAAGTGATTGTAAGCGAGTAATGAAATAAATATGAATAAAAAAGTTTTTCTTCTTGGTCAACTTGGAATTGATTAATTGAATAATTTTAGGATTGGCTGAATTTGCAAACGTGTATCCTGTCGACCACCCATGCATTTAAATTATTTTTTTTATGAAATAAAGGTAATTTGGGCTAGTGATATGAAGTTTCATGATCTGGGGCACGTAGGAATGAATTCGAGTGCTGAGGTATAATTATAAAGTTTCTGGAATTCTCATTGTAAATTGTGTGAAGGAAGTTCAGATAGTAAGTTGAGTAATAAGTGAATGGCACCTTACAAAGCGTTTTTTGAAAACTTATTGTTGTGAGCATTATCGCTTCTAGGTCATCTGGCAGACGGAATTCCTAGGAATTTTTCTTAGGAATTCCTAGAAAGTTTCCTGCGATTTCCTAAAAAAATTCCTTAGACTTCCTATGATTATTGCCCAAATTTCCTAAATTTTTAAAAGTAATTCCTAGTAAAACTAGGAATTCCTAATTTTTTTAGAAATTCCTAGGAATATTTTTTTTTTTGAATAATTGCGATTCGCAAAAATATTTTTTGAAAAATTCCTAAGAAAATTAGGAAGTTGTAGAAATTCCTAAAAAATTCCTTAAAACTTCCTGGTAATGCTAGGAAATACTAGGAAATCCTAGTCATTCCTAGAACCCTCGTTAGAATAATTATAAAATTTTTATGTTTACTATGATTTCCTAGTAAATCATAGGATTTCCTAGGAAATCACAGAAAGTTCTTGAGGAGATTTCCCCAAAATCCTAGGAATTACTAAGGAATCTTCCTAGGAAATACTAGGATTACTTAGATTTTGTAGGATTTATCAGGATTTCGTAGGATTACCTAGAATATTTCAGGTTGTACTAAAGAAATCATAAAAATTTTGAGAAATATTAGAAAGTTAATCCCAAAAACCCCGATGGCTAAACGATTTTTTATATCATTTAAAAAAAATATCTTTTACGCAAAAGCGAGTATGTTATTTGTTCTGATCAGAATACAATTGACTGTATCGCAAAAAGTTTCTATCCAAACAAATTAAGATTTAATGGAATTTTGTACTTTACACTTTTAAACTTTTAGTACTAATTTACAGCTTCATAACACAGCTGTAAGTTTTTGTGTCAATATAACATGCAGCTGTAAATTTAGATATGTATTTTTTAGGAAATTGCTTATCTGTACTTAAAACGTGGTGGCTAAAATTGAAGCAAAAATTGTGACTTGTTTACCAAACTAAATCCAATCGGCACTTTACGCCAGGCTTTTTGTAAAAGGAAATATTATAGTCAAATTTGCAAAAGATTAATGAGCAAGTACAGATAAGCGGACCTAAGCAATACTCATTATCTGTAATTAAAGCTGCTTGTTATTCAAACTATTTATTATAGTACTGAACAATTCTTACCGAGCTGCTTTCGCTCATATGTAATTAACAATCTAGGAAATAATTTCATTTTTCTAGAAATTCCTGGGAAATTAAAGGAATTCCTAGGAAAATTTCCTACATATTCCTTGAAATTCCTACGTAAAGTAACACGAATTCCTAAGAATTATTTCTGCCAGGTTTATAACACCCAATAAATGACGAAAGACATCTGGGCATGTAGACCTTGATACAAGACGATACTTAAGAATTTCTAAAATTTATAGCAATACCTCACGAATCGCAGAAAATTAATTTCTTAAAAGTTCTTAAAAATTCCTACGATTAATAGTAATTCCTAAAATTCATAGTAATTTCTAAGAATTCCTATTAGTTCCTAGGAATTTTTTTGTAGTTTCTACAACTTCCTAATTTTCTTAGGAATTTTTCAAAAAATATTTTTGCGAATCGCAATTATTCAAAAAAAAAATTATTCCTAGGAATTTCTAAAAAAATTAGGAATTCCTAGTTTTACTAGGAATTACTTTTAAAAATTTAGGAAATTTGGGCAATAATCATAGGAAGTCTAAGGAATTTTTTTAGGAAATCGCAGGAAACTTTCTAGGAATTCCTAAGAAAAATTCCTAGGAATTCCGTCTGCCAGATGATCTTCACCCGAGCATTATCCGAATCCTTGTCATTTTGACAACACTTCATTAAATGTTTGAGAGATTAATTTTTGATGGGAATCGAACCTACGTTCTCACAAAAGAAAGTTTCAGAGATATCAGGTCTGTAGTCTAACCACTCGACTACAGAAGCCTAAATTTCGCACTGGCAGATTCATTTATATATGGCTCGATACCCATAATTCCACTCTGCTCCAACACCACATTACCGAAGAAACTTAAATTCCTTAATATTTTAAGCATAAATCTTGACTTTTCGTAGAAAATTAAATGTAAATCGATATTTTTGTAGACACTGATTTATTGCCTAAAATTGAATTTCTAGAAGAATGTTGATAAGTTAATGACTAATCGCAAGATGTAGCTTGTGAAAATTCCTTCGAAAAATTCAAACTCAGAAGTAGTCTGTCGGGAGCAGCAAATGACTACAGCTAGCTCTATTACACGTACACCTTACAAGCTGAACTAGCTGTCGACTTATTAATATATGGTCAAGAAGATCTCAAACCCAAGATTGAATTTAAGTCCAAATTCATCTCCAAATGCACTCAAAACAGACAGACAGTAGCCACACGTTTGCACAATTTACCGTCGCAAAAAGCCACACTTAAAAGTCTACCTCATGAATAATGTAAGAATGTCGAAGAGAAGAGCACAAAAAAAATTTAAATGATGAACTTCCTTTGTATGTTTTTCTCGCTTTTGTTGAGATAACTGTCTCTGAGCTGGTTGATCAATACGAGATTAATTGGATATAAAAAAAATACTTTATAAAAAAAACTTTTTAAAAAAACTACGTTTTTCGCGTAGACTAAAAAGTAGAAAATAACTTTTATTCTTGGTTGTAAAGAATTTGGTTTTAAATTTTTAGATTATATTTAATAAATTTTTATATCCTAGTCAATATTGTTCACAAAGTTTCGAATAAGTGCACTTTGATCTTATCGTATAACTCAACAACTTAAAAACGTGGGCGCATTATAAGAGGAGAAATAAGTTTAAGTGAAATCAATACTTTATGATAAACTTAAATTAATGCGCCCACGTTTTTAAGTTGTTGAGTTATACGATAAGATCAAAGTGCACTTATTCGAAACTTTGTGAACAATATTGACTAGGATATAAAAATTTATTAAATATAATCTAAAAATTTAAAACCAAATTCTTTACAACCAAGAATAAAAGTTATTTTCTACTTTTTAGTCTACGCGAAAAACGTAGTTTTTTTAAAAAGTTTTTTTTATAAAGTATTTTATTTTCTACTTTTTAGTCTTATTCTAATGAAATAGAGAAATAAAGATTACAGTAGATTTATAGGTAACAGGTGTGTTGAACTCCACTTCGTTGCGTTCAACTGTTTATAGATTACAGTAGGTTCATAGGTTACAGGTGTGTTGAACTCCACTTCGTTTCACTTCGTTACGTTCAACTGTTTATAGATTACAGTAGGTTTATAGGTTACAGGTGTGTTGAACTCCACTTCGTTTCACTTCGTTACGTTCAACTGTTTATAGATTACAGTAGGTTCATAGGTTACAGGTGTGTTGAACTCCACTTCGTTTCACTTCGTTACGTTCAGCTGTTTATAGATTACAGTAGGTTTATAGGTTACAGGTGTGTTGAACTCCACTTCGTTGCACTTCGTTACGTTCAACTGTTTATAGATTACAGTAGGTTCATAGGTTACAGGTGTGTTGAACTCCACTTCGTTTCACTTCGTTACGTTCAACTGTTTATAGATTACAGTAGGTTCATAGGTTACAGGTGTGTTGAACTCCACTTCGTTGCACTTCGTTACGTTCAACTGTTTATAGATTACAGTAGGTTTATAGGTTACAGGTGTGTTGAACTCCACTTCGTTTCACTTCGTTACGTTCAGCTGTTTATAGATTACAGTAGGTTTATAGGTTACAGGTGTGTTGAACTCCACTTCGTTGCACTTCGTTACGTTCAGCTGTTTATAGATTACAGTAGGTTTATAGGTTACAGGTGTGTTGAACTCCACTTCGTTTCACTTCGTTACGTTCAACTGTTTATAGATTACAGTAGGTTCATAGGTTACAGGTGTGTTGAACTTCACTTCGTTGCACTTCGTTACGTTCAACTGTTTATAGATTACAGTAGGTTTATAGGTTACAGGTGTGTTGAACTTCACTTCGTTGCACTTCGTTACGTTCAACTGTTTATAGATTACAGTAGGTTTATAGGTTACAGGTGTGTTGAACTTCACTTCGTTGCACTTCGTTACGTTCAACTGTTTAAAGATTACAGTAGGTTCATAGGTTACAGGTGTGTTGAACTCCACTTCGTTGCGCTTCGTTACGTTCAACTGTTTATAGATCACAGGAGGTTTATAGGTTACAGGTGTGTTGAACTCCACTTCGTTTCACTTCGTTACGTTCAGCTGTTTATAGATTACAGTAGGTTTATAGGTTACAGGTGTGTTGAACTCCACTTCGTTGCACTTCGTTACGTTCAACTGTTTATAGATTACAGTAGGTTCATAGGTTACAGGTGTGTTGAACTCCACTTCGTTTCACTTCGTTACGTTCAGCTGTTTATAGATTACAGTAGGTTTATAGGTTACAGGTGTGTTGAACTCCACTTCGTTGCACTTCGTTACGTTCAACTGTTTATAGATTACAGTAGGTTCATAGGTTACAGGTGTGTTGAACTTCACTTCGTTGCACTTCGTTACGTTCAACTGTTTATAGATTACAGTAGGTTCATAGGTTACAGGTGTGTTGAACTCCACTTCGTTTCACTCCGTTACGTTCAACTGTTTATAAATTACCAGTTTTCAATGAGAAATTAGTAACGTCTTTCAAAATTTTTCATTCGTTTTATAAAATTTAATTTTTTAAAGCATTCATTAGTAAAGTACATTAAAAATCACTCGTAAAGATTTTGTGTTTATCTGTACCATTTCTACTTCATAACTTGTGGATTCTTAACATAAAGATGCAAATCACATCTATATGTAACGTATTTATAACGGATTTTCAAATTTAAATTCAATGAATATCATTTATATGTTATGCAAAAATACGTCAAGCCGTTAATAAAAAGAAAAGTCAATTTAATTAAGTTGGTGAAGTGTTATAAATAATGCAATACATTTAAAACAGCATAAATTTATGCTCAAACTATGTGTGCTAAATGCACATCGCATATTAATAGTTATTTTGCATTAATTCGTAACGGACTTGTGCTTAACGGTTTTTTTGAAAATTCAAATTTTCACTTACGAATATTCATGAAAAAATTACATGTCATTTTTTTGTCTTACCAGAATATCTTTAGCTGCTCAAATTTATGGTATAATTAATAATTAGTAATATTAATTGAACTATAGTGAATCATATAAATGACTTTAGAGCAACACAAGTATAATATTTAATACAAATCAAAATTTTATATCATTGACATTGGATTTTTTCCCATATAAAAAAGTATTACATAAATTGTACTATAATTAAGCATTTTTGTGTTTCCAAAGTGTTAAAATATTGTATTGTCACCGGGAATACGTGTGCATTAAAAATTTGAGCTCGATTGGAGCAGCAGAAGTGGTCGAAAAATCGATTACAAGATTTGCCCTCGACAATCAAACAGATAAGAAAGCAAGTTAAGAAAAACGTAGTAATAGTAAAAAGAGGTAGAAAAGATAAAGCGCGAATGCATTTTTCATAAATGTAATGCAAATTCTTTATACATATAAATATATTTATTCTATGGCAATCACCTGCGAGAATATGAAGAGAATGCCTCCAAATAAGCGCACTTTTCTATCAAAGCGTGTCTGTAGATACTGCAAGAATAAAAGTGGACGAGAAGAGAGATAATAATAATAATAATATTGTATTGAATTGGAATCAATTTATTTAATTCTCGTGTACCTCATATGTGCTGGTTAGTTTGAGATCATGAAAGACGGGAAGATAGACGGACATCATTACGAATCCCGTGATGATAATTCCGCCCATTATATAGAAATATGAGATTCCATACATGTAAATCTCTGTTGGTGTGCCGAGTAGACTTATGCCTGATATAAAGCTAAAGTATTGAAGGAATTAATTATCGGCTCAGTACAATTTTTATATTTTTTAAAGCAGTTTTTAAGGTTAGAAAGGCAGCTTATTATTTCACTTTGTTCAAGTGAGTAGGTAAAGTCAAGAAATATGAGTTATTTAATATTGAATAAAGCTAGTCTGAGCATTAGCTTGGTGCTATAGAACTATTAATTAATAATTGATGAAAGTAGCAACTGCTACTCTTGATAGTTCATACAAAAATTAAACTTTGAATATTAAAAGAAGACCGATACAAATTTGAATTTTAAAAGTACGTTAAAAATTTGAATTTTAAAAGTCTTGTAAAAATTTGAATTTTAAAATAACTTTACATATGAATTTTTAAAGGACGTTAAAAATTTGAATTTTAAAAGTACGTTACATACTTGAATTTTAATAGACCGTTAAATATTTCAATTTTAAAAGACCGTTAAATATTTGAATTTTGAAAAACCGTTAAAAATTTGAATTGCAAATAATCATTGATTATAGACTCGATATAGATTGTTAACTTAACACCAATCACAAACTGCCAGAAAAATGCACCTTAGCCTCCAAATCACTAACATAAGAACTCTTAATTTTTTTGTTGTTATATAACTTATAAGACCAAGAATATATTGCATTTAATACCTGGCGATTAATGACATAGCAACGGGAAATATTTTCATATTACGGCCTCCAACGAGATAATCAGCCTCATCGCCAATTGACTTTGATTTCTTCTCAAAAAAGCCGAAATAAATTCCTATAGCTGCGCAAATTGACAGCATGAATAGGAATATTGAGTAGTCTGGCCATCCAAACTTTTGTAATGAAATTCTCACTTCATCAATATTGTCTGTCATCTTTTTTTAAAAAATTATTTTGAACTTAAGTCCTCAGCTCCGCATAGTAAAACTTCTAAAATACGACTGAATTATTTTTCTGCCCTTATCATCAAGATCAAGTCATTCTTGCCTTGAAAAAAAAAATCTTCCTCCTTACTTACTTTAAATTCATTCAAATGATTGTCTTAAAATGATCTCATTATATTATCAAGAGAAAATAATAATAATAATGGAAATTACATATTCTACAGGCAATTTTATAATCATTTATCAGCTGTTTCACATCAGCATAAAAAGTGAGCATAGAAGTGAATGATAATCACAATTATTATTATAATAATAATAATTTTTTAATCTCATGATGCTATTTTGATATAAAATAATTTTATGCAGATTACGGGCAAGTGCAACTTTACAACGCAATTCTATAGCAGTTCATAAAAATCTATTAGATGGAAAAGTTTGCAGGGACTTGATGAGGTTTTGGATAGTTTTTGTTGAATTTTATGGTGTAGCTTAAACTTGTGTAATTAATTCTTATTTTTCTTGTAGATCTGTGTTGAATTTTGGAACTAAAACTGAATGATTTGAATTTAAATCCTACAAATGACTTAACCAGCTGAGATTCAATCTACTGAATCGAGGAAGAAAAGACAAAATGCTTCTAGAATCCACACAAAAAAAGGATAACTGATCTCGAGCGGGATTCGAACGCATTTCCTCTTTTATGGTCGCTTGCTCCTATCACTGAACTATCGAGGGTTAGTAGGCTTAATGGCTAAATCACATATTTAAGTTACAATCTTTGGGGCCGTTCACTTATGACGTCCGGGGGGGGGGGGGGGGGGGGGGTCAGCAAGAAAAGAACAATAGAAATTTCTGGAAATCTATTGTTCTTTTATGAAAAATGACCGTTAATTTCGGACGTCATAAGTGAACGGCCCCTTTTCTGATCCTTTAACATGATTTATCGTTGACTGACTGTTACTTGAAATCCAACACAATCAATTAAAATATTTTTTAAAACAATTCGTTCGAGAAAAATTTAAAAATTTAATTTATTCTGAGTATTTTTTTATACAATCAATCCACACAAAAAAATGAAATCAACAATCCAGCACTTTAGTTTACACAAAGTCTCTCTTCCATTTTTGCATGCAATTTTGTTGCAAAAAAATTAAAATATTTTTTTATAAAGTAAAAAAAGTCTGCATTCAATTTGTTTATCTCTGCAGTTTGTTTATCATACAAAATGACTGCCCACAGGCGCAACAACAGAGGGAATTTCTTTCCCATATCAGCTTTATTGGTATTGATCACAATCTCTAATTTATAATCAATCTTCTATTTGCCTACAGAGATGAATTTCAAATTGAATTAGCATATAAAAGCAATTTCTCATCAATTAAAATCCCATAAATTTATGCTACGATAACTATTTTTAACATCCATTAAAATTCATTCCAATTTGATGTGCTGAGTAGTGTTCTACGCACAATTACATTAATCTTGGCTTTAATGCTACTGCCTCTGTTGATTTTTATCTTATTTTTACTTTAAACAATAAATTTTTTATGAGATTTAAATATCTATCGATCTACATGACTTTATGCATGCATACCTATAATCCTTTTCATGGAAATATTTTTTTTACATTATTGACCAAGAGATAAGACGATGTGGTCCACCTGTTCGTTCGTTGGTCTGTCACTTTGCTGTCATTTGGCTGTCAGTTTTATTTCAGTTTGCTGTCACTTTGCTTTCAGTTTGCAATCAGTTTTCTTTAATTTTGCTGCCAGTTTTCTTTCAATTTGCTGTCAGTTTGCAATCACTTTTCTTTGTGTTTATTGTCAGTTTTCTTTCATTTTGCTGTCAGTCTTCTATCAATATGCTGTCAGTTTGCTATCAGTCTGTCTGTTTATAGCTTTTAAATGTAGATGCGCCTCAATCAGTCATAGCTAACCACTTCTTTACTAGCTTTCCATTATTGTAGGGAAATTGTTTAGCAACCGTTTAACTGATAAAAGCATGAGAGAGGTCAATAGATGGGTGTTAGCGATGGGCAACGATGTTTATGATAATTTTTCTGATCCTGAATAAATTTGCAATGAATTTAACATGCAAAACCTGAAGAGAAAGGCGTTTAAGCTTTTGAATTTTTTATGAGCAAATTTTTATTTATTTTTGAGGGATAACACTCAACAAATTAGAATAAGATATCCTCTCATAAATGCAATTGGATCCTCAGTAAATCTAGGGCAAACATCATCAATAAAATTGTATTGTATTCAAAGATAATGACAAGAGAAATGACTCAAGTATCAATAATAGAAAATATACACACAATTACCAAGCAATTTTTCTCACTTCCATGCACAAGTTTATTGATGCTGAATATGGAGCCGCATTCTTCTCTCTCTCCATTGTCATTCCATCTAATTTATCTCCAACGAAACAAACACAATTGTTATTATTAACTGCAAACATTAAGGAAAATAATATTGGAAGTAGGGAAGTTATTCAAGTGAAGTGGCTTAAGCGCATTTTCTGGAAACTGATATGGATGTCCAATTTAAGGACTCTTGATGCTCAGGGAGTAATTGATTGATTGATAATCTTTCTGAGAGCGGGATGCAACAATTTTGGACACACATAATTATCCCTTGTAGTGTAGCTATCTAATTAAGTCTAGTGCCAGCAGTAGACCAAGGATATGCAAAGGCCTTCTAGGATCAAACGGCTTCTGGCATAAGAACCACATAGAGACCTTGGTAGTTTGGATGAACCCTCGTAGATCCAATCATATTAAAGCCAGTAGCAACAACTCCACAAATCTATAACCTATACGTCCAAAATGCAGTTCATAACCTTCTCTTACTAACCTAATAATTGCTCGACAAAAAAAATCACTCTATGTGCATTGGATTGAAAGACGATGGATAGAGATTGTTTATCCATTAATATTTGATTTTTTGGCTTCCTACTTTTCTTGTCGATGTGGATTTTCGATCCATCCCCAACATGATGGAATGAAAATTGTTTATATTTGTGTTTGTGTATCATATTTATTGTCATATATTATATAAGCACATCATCTATGACTGCTTGAAAAATACGCAAGTAAGTGCAAACAATGAGATTCCCTATTTTTTGCCGTGTGCTTTCTTTTGCTGCCTTTTTTGTGTCTAAACGTCTTTCTTCTCCCTTTCAATATGTGATGATGTAATGTGATGAATGTGCGTGGTAAAGAAAACATGTGGATGTAAAAATGATTGAGATTGACGTTTTTCTAAGTCTGGAGGATTTTTGGCATAGAAAGTAGAATAGAACTAAATAGACATGATGATGATGATGATGACAGAAAGGGGAGCAGATGATAATGAGGAAGAAAATAATTTAAATTTTATGATTTTTTTTGTGCATGCCAATTTAAATTTCACATTCATTAATCGCTGTCATATGGATACGTGCAATTTATGTCTCATTCCAAAAGCATCAAGTTCCTGACAGGATAAATGAAAGTTTGAAACTTTTTTGTTGTGATCCAGAATCCCCAAAAGAAGAAAAACTTTTTCCACCCTTCTTAAAAAATATTTTTTTCTTGTCAGTAAATTTCCACACGCACGGATATGCCTGTGTATCAGTTCATTAAACCTTCGGTACACATTATTATGATATTATTATCAATTCTTACAAACAAGAAGAAGCTGTTAGTTCCTCAAATTGATGTATGAAAAACTTTTTCACCAGTCAGCTTTTTGGAAAACTTTGTTGTTGTTGTTTTGACTTAAACTTTATGTTCCAGCCACACACAACCCCTCAAAACAAACATCGCGATGTAAAAATTTTTCAACGTCAAAAAGTTTTAATATTTCACTTTTTTTTCGAGAGAGATAAATAGTTTTGGTTGTTTATTATGCATTAAATTTTTGGCGTAGGTCTAGTGGGGATGTGAAGAGAGAATATTGGCAATGCTTTGTCTGATTGAGCATTTATTGAAGAATTGAAGATTATTTGAACTTTATGAATGCCGTTAAAATTTAAACTATACAAAGCTCGTTAAAATTTGAATTTCACAAAAGCCGTTAAATAATTTGAACTCTACAAATTCGTTAAATTTTGAAATTTACAAAAGTCGTTGAAATTTTGAAATTTATTAAAGCCGTTAAAATTTGAACTAAACAAAAGTCGTTAAAATTTGAATTTTAACAAGGCTGTCGTTAAAATTTGAATTTCACAAAAGCCGTTAAATAATTTGAATTCTACAAATTCGTTAAATTTTGAAATTTACAAAAGTAGTTGAAATTTTGAAATTTACATAAGCCGTTAAATTTTGAAATTTACAAAAGTCGTTAAAATTTGAATTTCACAAAAGCCGTTAAATAATTTGAACTCTACAAATTCGTTAAATTTTGAAATTTACAAAAGTCGTTGAAATTTTGAATTTTACAAAAACCGTTAAAATTTGAACTATACAAGAGTTGTTAAAATTTGAATTTTACAAAAACCGTTAAAATTTGAATTTCAATAAAGCTGTTAAAATTTTAAATTTTCAGTCATAGATTTACCAATTTATTGCGCCTAATAGACTCTTCTCCAGCAAATTCAGAGCAAACTTATCCACAGTTTGCGGGGGGAAATATATTTTATAAAAGTGAAAACAAGGAAAAATTTTCCACATTAAGTTATAAGTGAGTGAAAAAAACTGCTTCACGGGATGCATAGAAAGTTTTGTGTAGACACAACAAAATTTATGTGTGAAAAAAATTACAGCATTGGGAAAAAAGGCATCGCTAATGCATTAAAAATTTAAAATAATTATGCTCGTGTTGTGGTCGGAACTTGTTCTGTTGTTGTTTATACAAACTCACTTATCCGCCCGTACTTCTATGCATCAGAGTAAAAACAAAAAAAAATAATAGAATTAGAAACTAAAAATTTAATTTATCGCTTGGCTGTGCTGATTAAAATTCAATTCTACAGCTATAACTTTTGTTGCCCCGTTAAATTTTACATTATCTCTTAATGAAATCGTCATCATCATAATAATAATCATGTCATATTTATAATTTACACAAGCACAAATTTCTCATGACGATAAATCAGTTCAGTGAGCAAGTGGCTTGTTTCTTGCTGCTTGCTTGCTTTTTATCAAGACAGAATATATTTCTCATTTTATATTTGCCATTGTCTCAAACTCAAAATTCATTGCAGAAGTTTTCACACAAATACAATAACGCTGCCTGCAACATGCTCATCAGACGTAGCAACTCTTAGCAACAAATAACAAAAACAGTAGCAGAAGTAACTCACAGAACTGAGAAGAGATTCTCATTATGACAAAAATATTAATAACAATTGTGATGCATCGAAGCAGAAGTTTAATAAATTTTAAGATAAAAAGTCATTTCAATGAGTTTTTTTTTGTGCTTTGCAGAAAATAAACTGAATATGAAAAGTCATTGAAGCATATTGTAAATGAATTGAATGAATAAAAATTGTATTTTGTATAATTTTGTGCATCAGTCTTATTGTCTGTCTATTTGATTGTTCATATATTGAATTATTGATGTGGAATGTTATGCTGAATTTTTTGGGGATGGAATTTTGAAGAAATAGAAGCTAGAAATGTGATTATAAGTTTGTTGTATAGTATAACTTAAACATTTCGGAATAAATAATTTGCAAAAGATGCAAAAACAAATGATAAAGATGCTGAAACAATTGTAAAGGATGCAAACAATTTGAAAATGATGTAAACCTTTTAGAAGAAAATGCAAAAAAATATTAAAAAGATGCGAACAATTTGATAATGATGCAAAAACAGTTTTGAAAAGATGCAAAAAAAAGAAAAAATGCAATCTTTTTTTGAAATTGGTGCAAACATTTTTGAAAAAGATGCAAACATTTTTGAAAAAGATGCAAAAAATTTTGAAAATGATGCAAACAATTTTGAAAATGATGCAAACATTTTTGAAATGATGCAAACATTTTTGAAATGATGCAAACATTTTTGAAATGATGCAAACATTTTTGAAAACAATGCAAACATTTTTTAAAATGATGCAAACATTTTTGAAATGATGCAAACATATTTGAAAATGATGCAAAAAAATGCGAACATTTTCAAAGAGATTCAAACATTTTTGAAAACGATGCAAACAATTTTGAAAAAGATGCAAACATTTTTGAAAATGATGCAAACAATTTTGAAAAAGATGCAACCTTTTTTGAAATTAATGCAAACAATCTTGAAAAAGATGCAAACATTTTTGAAAATGATGCAAACATTTTGAAAAAAATGCAAACATTTTTGAAATGATGCAAACATTTTTGAAATGATGCAAACATTTTTGAAAACAATGCAGACATTTTTTAAAATGATGCAAACATTTTTGAAATGATGCAAACATTTTTTAAAATGATGCAAACATTTTTGAAAATGATGCAAACATTTTTGTAAATGATGCAAACATTTTTGAAAATGATGCAAACATTTTTGAAAATGGTGCAAACATTTTTGAAAATGATGCAAAAATATTTTTGAAAAAGCTGCCAAAAAATTTGATAAAGATGCAAACTTATGCAAACAATATTTCCCTTCAAAACTTAACGAATCCCTTCTAGTACCACATCCATAATTCCTTCCACAGTGTTTTATGAATTTATCATGCATTCATTCTTCCTCTCCTTTATCCATACATCATAATTCGAGGAAAAAAATGAAATCATCTTTCCCCAGAATCACACATTTGCACATGAAACTATATATGTCTTTATAAATACGAATTCAATGTGTCAATTTAATTTGATGAAATCATAAAAGATGATGACGATGATAACGAGAAAGAAAAAAGAGGAATCGGGTGAATTATGACAGTGGAAATTATTGATGTGACATTTCGATTTCTTAATTCATTTTCATCCATATGATTCACTAATAATATCTCACATGTGATATGTTGTGTGATGAGTATGACACTAATATTGTAAGTGCTGCTAAAAATCTTAGATATGAATGCTCATGATGACGATGGTGAGACAGATTGTGATTTTATTACAGCGCATTTCACTGTCTCCGTTTTTGACATTCTCAATGGATGTCTTTCAGCTTCTTTTGTCATTTGACATCTTGTCTTTAGAGAAAAGCATCTGTAGCTCGAGGATTTATGGTCGATAAATTTATAGTGATTGCTATGGTTCACAGCTTATTGGCGAGCAATTTATTGTTTTTGATTGCTTGCTGGAAAATCGTTTGAGAATTTGTTCGGGTCATTTGTCTTTGTTGTTTGATATTGAAATTGAGGATCGCTGTGAGTGTTTTGAGTTTCGTGAGTTTACTTAGTCAATATTGACTAGCTTGTAATGCAAACTCTAGATGTGAAGGATGTTCTTTGAATAGTTGAATCAATGAGTTGTCAAAAGATATGTTCAGTGCAGAATTCTGTTGAAGTATAAGTTTAACTAGTGCACTTCTTCATCTGGAAAGAAA